TTTTTTTTTTTTTTTTTTTTTTTTAATAGCAAACACAATTATTTTAATTTTTTTAAAAGATTAAAAAAAAGTAAATGAAAATTATTAAAGTTTTAAGGATATTTTTAAAATATTTTTGAAAGTTTTTCAGTATTTTTTTTAACAAATAATGCTAATTGTATTTTTTAACTTTTAAGAGTATTAATTGAACACTCGTCAATAGTTTTATTACGAGACATCTTATGGTGTCTATTTAGCTATTATAGCGATTGTTGTCAATTGCGTCGTGCTCATTGAGATGGGCAGAAAAATTCAAATACTTTTGTTCATTTGTTCGTGTCCTTCCATCTTGCCCTACAAACTACGCAGCTAATATTTCTCCTTCCCTTGCTTCGTTTCCACCTCGAGAAACAATCTTCATGAACGAGATTTCGACATGTCGTACAAGCCACAACCCGATCGTCCTTTAGATCATCCAAACAAACAGGACAAGCAGCCCCATCTTCAATATCTACAATAAGTACACAAGTCCTTTCTTTTACCTGAAAGAATTGCTGATGAAATACTCTACGTAGACGAATTTCAGCAAGCGATTCCGTCATAGCAGGTGCAGTAAGCAAACGATTCAATTGACAAGGTCGAAGCGTTCTCTGCCAAAGACATATATCATCCAGTGACACACCCAGAGCTCGAATGTAAACAAATAACATGTGTTTGCAAGGCGTAATACGATTGGGGCAAGTGCACGAGGGGGTGTAGAGGATAGAGACACAATGTAGACATTGCCTGTGGCACCCAACACAGAATGAAGAATCAGAGCGGTGTGGAGACGGAGGTGATGGTGGAGAGCTCGAACAATCCGGTCAGTCATAGCTTGGGAGGGCTCGAACCAAGGAAGGCGAGGACGGGGGTGGTCCGGTGCGGATGAAGTAGAAGCAACAGACTCCATGAGAATTTGAAAGGAAATTCCAAGTGCCACATACATATATAAGGGAAGGTGGAACCACACGATTCTTTGTGTAGTTTTGAGGGAAACGAGAGGGGTAAGTTTGGTGGGTATGGAGAGAATGGAAAGTGTGCGGAGAATTCATAGGCTACAAGGCACGCAATAACCAAATTACCAGCGCCTTCGTCTGCAAAAAGAACAGATTCTTGATTCTAATCTCTACCACTTCAAGATCCTGTTAGGTGCAGTTCATATCTCAAAACAACTTATAATCATCAACCAAGATCTATACAAACAATGTGAAGATCAAAACTGGAAACTAGGGGGAATCAGATGAATCTTAACGATTAAGAACATGTGTTCGTGTTCATCGTTAAACACCAGAAATGGTGCGTAATTTTCATGTAGAACGAAAAGGCACACTTGGTGTTATATGTTTATCATCAGCCCAGATCAAGATTTTAAAAGATCTAACAACTTTCATGATCGTTTTCGGAGGGCTTTTATCGAACTTCAAAAGACCAACTTTGCAGCCATGGGTTATTTTACCAGGAAAAGATTGCTATGACAACAAACTTTACGCTACAAATGGCGGTAATCAAGATATTACGGAACAGCAACCATCAATTTTCATCTGCCTAAGATTCTCATCAATCAGAAATCAAACCCCATAATGAAACAGACGTGTTGAGTTATAAGATGTTAATATGTCGTAACCATCAAAGAAACCGATCATATGTCAAAGAACCATCACCAAAGATGACAAACTATGCAGGAAAATGAAGTTAACATCTCAGTAAAACATTAATGTACCTTTGAGCTGAAAAATCTGAAGTGCACAGTGTACGTGAACAGACGACGGTTGAGTATTTCTTGAAATCCAGTATCGAGCCAAGACGAGTCAGGAGATTACGAAGTTGTTGATATATAATTCAGATACCTGCAGTTGATAATGGAAACAGAATGAGTAACAAAGATTATCCAATTCCTTCACTCTGCATCTATACAATCAAAAAAACGGTCTTCATTGCCTCCACGTTCAGTTCAAGAAACCATTCTCTAATGGAATCGAAGATTAATAACCACAAAGTCTACAAGAACAGACATCTTTATAACAGATAGTTTTTCCTTACCACACTAAGCCGAAGTATTTAGCTTCAAGAAAAATACAAAAGCAAAGTAGAATGGTTCGAGGAACTGCACCGTCGCTACTGATGGCACTCGGAAACCAGATGGCAACTGTTCTTCATTCATGATGGATGATGGAGTCCCGCAATATTCTGGTTCCGAAAAAAGGAACCTGGTGTAATTGACAGTCATCCCAGTGTTGACAAACAATATTCGTAACCCTAGTAGAAATCCACAAAAATAACGTATAGGCACGAGCCATAAATCATCAGCTAACTAATGATTGTATAGATAGAAAATCCGCTAAAACGTATTGCTTAAAGGTGTAAAATTGATATGTTCCAGGTTCAGACATTTAATATCCTCAGTTCCAAAAAGGTAAGAGATAAGGATCTAAGTACAAGTAAAAGGGATATGAATATCGAGTGCCCACGGATGCTTCATAATCGTAACTGCACGATGGCCTACGTTGTGCACATGCCTTCAGTCAAGAACTAGTTTTCAAGACTATACAAATCCTTTAAGAAATTGGTAAAATCATCCAAACCTCAGGAACATGAAAGATCTAACTTTAGTTCATACTTGAATAACATGAATGAAAGCCAGAGCATAGGTGTCAGGTATCTGATGCTACACGATGTTGACGTAATGAACAGTTAAGCTGCACGAACTCCATTAGCCACAGTCAATTGTTTGTCTTAAAAATTCATGTCTGCCCAAGAGGAACACCATTTGTTTAAAAATTGCAGGCTCTAGGTGGCATCGACTTAGGGGTAGTAGTTCATGAAACAGTTCGGCCATAGCAAATAGATGCGATATAAAGGTTCTTTGCCCATTTCTCCTGCATAAACACACCAGAAACAAAAATCTTCAGAAATTTAACAATATTAAGCAAAATTATAAAGTCGAATGTATATTTGCATGGCAAACCTTGACATGTGTACTAGGAAAGGCAGATGTCCGAAGCGTTTCTTGAGTTTCATCGGTAGGCTTTCTCCTAGGCACACTCAAAACAAGAGCAGCCTGGTCCAAAGTTGCAGCCGTTGATGTGATGCGGTAACCACTATCCCACCTGCGGTGAACACCTTCACTAGGATATAGGAAATCTAGTTCCACCACCTGTGAAGTGATCAGAAGTCAAAACCAATGCCGAATCGCTTCAATTGTCATGCAATAGAAAACCTATTAGCCTAATACCTGGTCAGAAAATCCTGCACCGCGTGACATGACAATTGCCCATCTACTGCCGGCAGTGGCCATGGCAGTAACATAAAATCCCTCCCTCCATTTCTTATTTATCCACTTGAAGGGAAATGAATCGCTGACTTTATAAGATTGCTGAAGGTACTGAGTCCCTGCATTAAAGTTATATTTAAGTATAAGAAGCGACGCACCCACAAGCACAGGATGCACCCTTCTTTTCTAGTAGTCATTTACAATATATTGTATTACGACTAACCTTTGGACATTACTACCAATGAGCTCCCATTATTAGCTCCTGCTATTGCACTGATGTAATAGTTTTTCTCCCACTGTTCCATGATCCAGTCCTAAGTAAACAAACGTGAAAGTTATCGGCTGTTTAACATACAATAGCACATGCTCTGTTGATAAGCAATAAAGTAGTTTTATGTGACATCCCACAATCCCACATTGGTTGGGGAGGAGAACGAAACACCCTTTATAAGGGTGTGGAAACTTTTCCCTAGCAAACGCGTTTTAAACCCTTGAAGGGAAACTCGACAGAGAAAGCCCAAAGAGGACAATATCTGCTAACGGTGGGTCTGGGCCGTTACATTTTCACAATCCATTGATCCAATGAGAAACAAACATGAAGGTGTAATCTCGCATGTCGAGTATCCAAGATAATTTATTTTCTTCTTCATGGAAAAAGGAACCAACCTTGTGAAGAAAGCATGGCGAGAGTTCGTAAACTTGAGCAGTAAATCCAGTTCCAGCATCCATAATAAGGGCCCAAAGATTCGAACATGAAGCAACGCAACTAATAAATAAACCATCTTCGTTTCCTTTCTCAATGTGCTGAGAGAGCCTCATATCAGCAACGTTATAGTGATATCTACATCAGGATAAGTTAATCAATAACTCTTCGTTGTAAATGAGCTTCATCTTAAATTCAAGTGCAAACCTTTGCTTCATTGGTTTACGGGCATTATAAACACTAATCCATTGAGTTGCAGGCATCCCCATTCGAACCTTCTTCTTTGGTTGTTCGTCATCTTCATCCTCCATGGATAGCCTTCCTCTCTTCTGCCCAACCTGAAAAATAAGCTTCACATAACAGATAACGTTTTAGATAATATTCACGTTCAAAGTTTCAAACCAAAAAGTACCATTGACAAACACATAAATGCAATCAAGGAAACATGAGTACTTTCTGTGCACCATCTGTGTTAATTGGATGGATATCTGGATTTGGACCGACGATCCCATCAAAGAGGGAGATATATCTTGCATAGTTCGGCTCTTCGTCAAATTTCAAATTCACAACATATTCAACAAACTGCCTAAAAGGCTGTGGGCAAAAACAGCACAATGTTTCAGAGGAAGTAGACATCTTCTTCTTGGACACAAGGAATCCTTTATTTTCTCCCTGGAGAAAAAAACATACTTAGAATTCAGATTAAATATATCTTCTGTTTGCACAAAGAGTTAATCTCCATCAGCCCTGAGAAGAAACAGACCTGATATCCTTGCCAAGGAAGCCGACCACGAAGAAGAAAAACAAGAGTGTAAGCAAGCGATTCCAAATCATCTCTCCGACTAGCAGTTCTGCCAAGATGCGCATGAACACTAGCATACCGAACTGTTCCTCTAAAAGATGTGAAAAAGAGATGTTTAAGGGTCTCTAAATGTTAAATAGATGCATGCAACTATCATATAAAATATACAGCTTTCATACCGGAAAACGTCTGGCCGTTGATCATACTCAACATGTTGACCAGTTGAACTATCACGCCACTTCGTTGCTATAAGGTGAATCAAAAAAATAATAAGGTGTTTCATATGTATAAACAATAATATTCCATCTAAATGTAATAAATAAAAGCGAGGAGAGAAATACCTAAACCAAGATCTACAAGAAACAACTTTTTCTCTTCTGGGGTTCCAGGAGGGCCTAGCAAAAAGTTTTCAGGCTTCACGTCACCATGCACGTACCTGTCGGAGACATTAGAGAGCAGAAATATAATTACAAGAATACAACAAAATCATTCATGAGCCTGTGAATAAGCTAACTATGTAAAAATAGTCCAGCTTAGCTGTAGTAGATGCAAAAATCACACATCATAACTGTCATGATGTTTGAACAAAGGTACCAAGGTCTGCAATATAGTCTTAACATGTTCCTTCACTACGAAAGCATCCTCGGACCCATGTAACTTTCCCGTCCCTCCATAATAAACAAGGAAGCCCTAGCAGCTAAGCTTCAGAAGCTGCTATGGGTGGGAAATGAACCAAAAGGCGTAGGAGGCCTAAAATATCAATCCAAAAATGACTACATTGAGTTTCTTCCTATTTGATTCACATGGCAATCTAATCACACCACATTTAACCACAAACCTTTTTTTTATCGATCATTACTATAAGAAGAATACAGAATAAAGGCCTTACCCTCTAGAATGCATCTTCTCTAATATGGAGATTGCCTCGATTGCGATGCATGCAACCATTTCAATCGACATCCTGAGATTCAAATAATGAAGTAGACATTAACATGCAATAAATCTGCACAAATGATCAAATTATACTACGAACTTACGTGTGAGCATTGTTATTCCAGACATCCCAAAGACTAGGTCCAAGCATGTCCATAACCTATATCCAAAGTATATTCATTCACAACACGACTAAAATAATGATGCATATCTCTGACGCCCTTTTAGGCTTTAACCATCTTAAAAAGTAAACAAAACAAAACGTACCATGACATAGTAGTCACCTTGCCGACCCTTGTAATGAACTCTTGGCACACCATGGCTACCACCTAGTGCACTGAAGAGCCAAGAGCGAAGTGATTAGAACACGTATAAATGTATGTAATATAACATACCTATTTGACACTAAAACATATCAAGCAAGGACTGTGAAGAGAATTACTTGTAAACCTGCCACTCATAGGGAGGTCCATAGTTGCACCCTTTACTACTTCTATGCTCAAATTTTAAGGCTATCTGAAATTTGGACAGATCACACGAGAAGTTGGTAACATGAAACGAGTAATCAGTAAACATTACAGATAAGGATACCATACCTCTACAGCTCCAGAGCCAGATCTTTCATTCAAGCTCGTGGGACCCATGCGTCGACCCACATACACCTGTCCAAAACCTCCTTTTCCTAATTTTCTTTCTACTTTATATAATGGAGAGCCGCCAACCTGAACCTGTTGTATTCAGAAGAACATAAAATATGAAAAACAGAAGCTAAAAAGACCACAACTGCAATTTTGAACGAAACTCACGGAGCGTTAATCCTATATATAATATTTCTCTATTATTGTCCAAATGAAGGGAGAAAAAACGAACACAATATTTCAACAGCCATCATATCACTTTTGGATCATTACAGCATAAAAAGAAACATCAACAAAACAAAGACAAGTAAGAGCTAATAAAGTCAATACAATCACTAGGAGAACACAGAAAGGTATGCTAATAAATAAAACCACAAACGAAAAGATCGAAGTAGAACAACAATCATTTCCATTCAAAGTATTCAACTTTCATAATCGGATCCTTCCAGCTCCACATATTAGAAGTAGAAACAAGGATATTAGCTGAAAAACAAGATCAAATACATAGAAACTGTCAAAATCAAGCACAATAGCAAATCCCCATTTATTCATCACTGACATTTCTTTAACTCCAAAGATATGAAAGCCTCTCAACTATGCTGCAATCTCAAACAAGGCCACGTCTAAAAGCTGCATCAGCTCATAATTAACAAGTCCAGCTGAAATCACTTGGGGTTCCCCAATAATAGTTCACACATTTCTCAAATCGTCAAACATACATGAAATCCAAGAAATTTACATATGGGAACAGGGAGATAGAATCAAAACCCCAATTTCCGTTCCCTAATCCTTTCCCAATCATCAACACAAAGCCATCAATTCCATAAACGTCAGAAAAAGCCTCACCTTCTCCGGAAGAGGAGCGGCCGTGCTTTCATCCTCAGCTTTAGGACCTTTATCGCCGTTCCGTCCGCCACTATCGAACTCATCCATGGCTTTAACACCAACCTCCAGTAGCTCTTTGTCCTTCCCAACTTCACCTTTGCTAGTTTCAAGACCGATTCCAGGGTTCACAATATCCCTCTCACCATCGGCGTCGATCGCGTCGTTCCCCTCCTTAATACACTTCTCTCCGCCGCGCTTAGCAGGTTTCCCACGGTGGCGTGTTCTGACAGTTAGCTTAACGGGTGTTTGGTGCACAATCGTGATTGGGTCTTCGCATACCCGGCTCCTCCGTGGCTTTCTACGGAGCTCAGGCATCGTACAGGTGGTGGTCCATGAAGGACGACAAAGTTCGCCGGAGAAGAAGCCTCAGGAATCATCGACGGTCATCGAACCCCCAAACAAATTGATAACAGAAAATGTGTGGAAATCGGAGTACCGGACACAAGGATAGCTCAGCCGGAGATCTTTGCAGGCGCTAAATCAAAGAGAAAGATTGTAAGGGTCAGTTGATTTTCAGTACAGAGAAGCAGATGACTAAGGAGAGAGAAAGACAGAGAGAGAGCTTAGCCTTTGTTTATGCAGCATACTCTACTTATTTATTTATTTATTTTCCTATTTTTTTTCTTTAATTTAACTCTTTAAAAAAAATATATTAAATACTTGAGACAATAATGAAAGAAAAATAATTATTTTTTAAATTTTTTTTAGTACAATAATAAAAAAATAATTAGTGAAACTAATTTTCGTTCGGGTTTCTCCTCGTAATTATAGTTTGGTGAAAAGTCTATTTTACCCTTATAATTAAAGGAATTACTAATTTACTAGAGTGCATATTTTTCGGACGTGTCCTCAATATTTCACTTGTAAATATTGCCCATTAGTAATTGAAACACGAGGTCATTAATTTCCTTAAATTGTTGAATAATTACCTCCAATGGTTATTCGATCGTGATCTCATATACGTGTCCCAATCATATTTAAACGGTTTTTTTCAAGCATAACTATTGACTTAGAATGCAAACACGTCCCATTTGTAACTTAATGATTTGACCCATCCATGAAAATGTCGCCTACATGACTTTAACCAACCCTTACATGGGCTGGTCTCACGGGCCAAGGGCAACCCATATATGGGACATGGTTTACCTACATGGGGTCGCCCAAATGGTCATTAACCGACCTATATTGACCTTTAGTCTAATCAGGCTTGCATCATCTCATATGTGGGTCGACTAATCATGACCCATGAGTTAACCACAATACACTTGGACAGAGTACAAATCTTTATGATTCTCGAAATTAGGCCCTACTAGCTAGATTCACCCATAAGAACTAGCTAGAGTCTAAATATGTGAGATCCACGTCGGTAGAATGAAGTATTCTTTACAAAATTTATCAGCAGTTAAAAAATAATCGAAGGAATTGGGTTGTTACAAATTGTATCAGAGCCAGATACGGGGTGATGTGCCAACGAGGACACTGAGTCTCAAATGGGGTGAAGACGGGGCGGTGTGCTAGCGAGAACGATAACCCCAAAGGAGGTGGATTGTGAGATCCAATATCGATTGGAGAGAAGAACGAGTACCAACGAAAATATTAAACCCATCTCAAAACATTAGCCGAATTTAAACAAATTTTGAAAAATACATATTTAAATTTCAAACACCAAAACTAAGGGCCAAAAATCTGATATCTGGACCCTACATTTGTCATCAATGCAAAGTAGGGTAACGTAAATGCCTAAACAAATAGGGTAGAAAAAGGAAAGTTAGCAATGGGGGAAGGAACTTACAGCCGATTCCATCCCCTCTCCAATGGCGGAAAACTCAGCAGCAAAATGGGAAGGTCGAGTTTCAGAGACTTTACAAGGCGCTACCGCGGACCAGATATGGCCGATGCTCAAGGATTTCTTCAATTTCCACAAATGGTTTCCAACCCTAGCCAACTGCTACGGACTTTCAGGCACCAATGGCGAGGTCGGCTGCGTTCGATTCTGCTCCGGCTTCTCGATTCCATCCACCGACGGCTCCGATAGCGTGGTTAGCTGGTCCAAAGAACGGCTGGTGACGGTGGACGACGAGCGCCGCCGCATACGATACGAGATCGTGGATAGCAACATCGGATTCAAATCGTACGTGTCGACGATCAAAGTCGTTGAGGGAGGAGACGGCGGCGTGATTGAATGGAGCTTTGTGGTTGAGGCGGTGGAAGGATTGAAACTGGAAGATCTGGTGAAGAAGTTCGAAAGGGGATTGAAATCCATGGCCAAACGAATGGAGGTTGCGGTACAACAAAATTAACCATGCTACCTACCAACTGAATAAATTACTTCCAATTTTTACTTTCAATTTCTCTGTTCTCTATTTTAATATTTTCTTGCATATAAAATTTTAATTTAGAAATGGAGAATTATATTAAAAGATAAAATATATAATATATTTTAAACTACAAGTTCAATTTATTTTTATTTTTATTATAAAAATTAAAAAAATTCTTTAGAATTTACCCTTCTCAATGTAATTTTATTTTATTTAATGAAAATTAAGATTAATCTCTTTCAAATTTAAGCCATTTTATTTTATAAAATTCATTTTTATTATAATAAGAAAAACTCTATTATTTGGATAATATTGTGAAAATTGACAGGATGATGTTGAGGGAGAAGAAAACAATATCAGTGTGAGATTTGGGAGATCTTAGACCACTAATTATATATATATTTATATGATTTAAATTAAATTATATAAGACGAACCATATATGGCAAAATAAATCATTTTCAAGTCAAATATATATATATATATATATATATATATATTCCTTCAAATTTGAGAAAATTGATTATTTGATTCTAAAATTTAAAAAAAAAAATTAAGCAAAAGAAAGTCAATAAATAAGTAAATAAATAAAAGCATTTAGAAACAATTGGAGAAAAATCATAAAAGAAAAATGGAAAAAAAAAAAAAAAAAGACTAATTACCATAAAAATTAAAGTTGATGAATTAGATATACAAATTTGAGGCATTCCCTTAAATCACTAGGAACAAACACAAATAAACTAAAGCTCAGATTTCAATCTTTTTTCCAACCAATTGATAATATCCTGACCAATCTCCTCTCGCTCTGGCTCGAACAGTAAGTCATGCAAGAACCCTTCATACAGCCTAATGTCTTTGAACTCGGATGCTGCCTCGTTGTACAGATCCTGGGACGCTAATGGATCAGTGACTTTGTCTGCTGTCCCGTGGAGGACGAAGAACGGGACGGTGATTGACTTGAAGTTTCGCATCAGGTATGATGAAATACGCAAGATCTCGTGGCCTGTTCGGACTCTGATCGGTCCTGTGTAGACTAAGGGATCGGAGTATTTCGCCAACAGTGCTGCAGGGTCCCTTGAAACTGGAATGCCTCTCTTGTTTGCACCTTTGAACTGAAACTTTGGGATCACCATGGAAAAGATTGGAGCTAGAGCCTACAACAACAACATTATGGAAGCAGTTCAACATGATGGTTCACAGCTGATTAACAGAGCTTGTGATTACTTACCCCAACGATCGGATGTGCGGGCTTCACACGCAGAGCTGGTGACGTCAGTATAATTCCCTTCACCATTTCTGCTACTGGAGGGTTGGATGCAGCCTGTATAAAGTTGTAGTTAAGGAAACCGAAAACTGATATCATATCGCTAGAAGGGGAGGAAGGTCTTTTGAATTCACTGACCTTCAAAACAACGGCCCCTCCTGTGGAGTGTCCAAAGAGGAAGCATGGTGTTTCAGGGTTCTCAGATTTAATCTTCTCTAAGAAAGCCCCCTGCAGTTCAGAAAAAATGATAAACAACACTTTCCAAATCTTTAAATATACTAAATCAACTCTAAACTACCTCCATGAACAAATAATTCAAAGCCATAACGAAAGTGTGATAATTTCGAAGTCCAGGAAAACCGACAACAAGATGACCGGTAGTTGGAAAGGGGAATAAAGCCTTCTTTATTAGAGAGTGGAAACCTCTCCCTAACATACGAGTTTTAAAAATTGTGAGGTTGATGGTTATGTAACGGGCCAAAGCGGACAATATCTGCTAACGGTGGGCTTGAGTTGTTACAAATGGTATCAAAGCCAGACACCGGAAGGTGTGCCAATAAGGACGCTAGGCCCCAAGGGATGGATTGTGAGATCCCATATCAATTGGAGAGGGGAACGAAACTTCTTTATTAAGGTGTAGAAATCTCTCCCTAATAGACAATTTTAAAAAATGTAAGAGCTTGACGGTGGAACATTCCTTATTAGGGGGTAGAAATCTCTACCTAATAGACGCATTTTAAAAACACTGAGACTAACGGCAATACGTAACAAACCAAAGCATTGAATTAAGCTATATTGCAGATCAAAGAGAATCTCATGTTGGCTGAACGGGCAAAAAGAAAGATCCTAAAACCGAAGTGAATAGACGTAGACGAATTTACCGTATCAGCAACAACATGATCAAGAGAGGGGACAAATCCATGTAATCCATCACTTCCACCATGGCCTACAATAAGAACACAAAACAACAGATATAACGCAATCAAAATCCTTCCCCAGAATATCAAATTTCTAATATCATTCCAGAATCTAAAACAAAATTCATCACTGTTCGAGTGGGAAAACAGCAGAGTAGTGAAAAACTTCATTCAAAATAGCAGATAAATTTATTTTGAATGAACAGAATTCATTGCAGAGGGTAGAACATTATGAACAAATCAAAACAAAAACTGGAAATCTTCAAAAAAAAACACAACAAGAGAGAGAGAGAGAGAGATGATGTGAATAGCTTAGCTACCTATCCAATCTATTGCATAAACGCCAAAGTTGCAAGAAGTTAGCTGGGTCGCAAAATGTGCATATCTTCCACTGTAAACAAACACCAAACACCAAAAACACCAAACAAAACCCATTGAGAATTAAAAACAAAAGCTGACAGCAAAATCCATAACAATAAACAAATAAATCTGGATGTTCATATGAAATAACTTTAAGATCACCTGTGCTCGTTAAGCCCATGAATGATGATTAAAATACCCCTAAAAAGACATCAACAGAACTTGGCGTCAGAAAACAAGGAAGCTTCCCCAATCGATATGCAAAACGATCATCAATTCAAGAAAACTAATCACAATTCTCTATCATCCTAAAAACCGGTATCATTTAGGTAAAATTCGTCGAACAATTCCACAAACATTTCAAAAACGCAAACTCAAACCCTTACTTCAATTCTCCGGATTCCGGAAACCAGGAGCGACAAAACAACGCGTTTCTTTTAACGCCATAGAACAAAGAGGTATTCCAACGGCCGCGAAACCCTCCGTCGCCAAGGTTTACGCCCATTTCGACGCCCTCGGCCAACGCCCTCCGTCTCTGTGTATCATCGTCCTCTCTCCGCCACACCAATCGCCTCTTCTTAACGGAGGTTTGGACCGTAGGCGTTGACGAAGCCGGTGAACGGCGGCGGCGAGGCCAGAGGAGGAGAAGCAGAGAGAAGAGGATGGTATGAATGAAAATGATGAAAGTTTTCAGGGTTTTGAGAATCGGAATTATCCGATTGCTCGCACCGGAGGTCAGCTGGTCCATCTCGGCCCTTGACATGGCGGGGATGGAGAATTTCACAGCGCGAATCGGAAAACGAAGACGATGAAACGAATTTCGGACAACCGACTCGAACAGAAAAAAAAAATCGGAAACTGAAGCGGAAACGAGTCTCCAACCAATGGGTATAAATAATCTATTCGAAGAGAGTCAACGCCGAGACGGAGACTAAAATCTAAACCGTTAGTATTTTAAGAAACATATTCAGTGGTCAGGATCGATTATTAAGCTTAATAAAGCTGCTCCCGACTGCAGAGAATAATTCAATGAACGGACCGCGTGAAATTAATTCGACGGTGACTATGAGGCGTTGATCGACGTGGCGGCGTTGTCTATGTTTTTCTTTCTTTTTTTTAAATAAATTATTGTTTTGGAAAATTAAAATTTCCTAATTTATTTTACTAAATATAGTAATTTTTTTGAGCTCCACAAATCTTCATTTATTAATAATTTTTTTAAATTTTTTTTGAAGAGTATTTTTTAAACAAAATATTACAAGGGTATTTTTTTTATTTTTTTAAAAAATATTTCTAATATTTTTATTTATTTATCTTAAATTTTATCCCACCAAAAGTCAAAAGATAATGATTCCAAAAACCTCTTTTGACACTATTTTGAAATTTCAATGACTCAATCGCGTAGATACGTAAAATACCACCGATGCAACTAGACAACTTAAAATTAAATTTTTTTAAAATTTCACTGAGCTGCAAAACCCATATCAAGATATTTAACGGAAGGCTTCCAACGAACCATGCATGTTGTCATCTCCTCCGAGGTTGCAGCGGCCTGAAAGTTGCCACCACCTCATCTTCAAGGCGGAGGACTGCATGGCGGAGCGCAAGACAAATTGAGATTTATGCCTCATCTCCTTCTCGTGGTAATTTTTCATACCCATTCTCGGAATTTAAGTTAGTGATGTCTGTTTTTATCTATATGGTCGAACACCCGCCTCAAAAAGGGAGAGGATTCTCGATTTAGACTGGGATTGGAGAAGCAGATATAGATATATATATATATATATATATATATATATATATAACTGGAGCAATTAATATGTTTATGTATTAAAATAATCATAATTAGTAATATTAAAATTAAATTAATAGCATATAAGGATATGTATTAAAATAATTGATTTATAAATTCATGCCTTTAATATAGTTTTATGTATAAATAAAATTTATATAGTGTAAGTAAATTTTAAAATTTTAAAATAATATAATTTTGATATGATTAAATTAAAATTAAAAAAAAAATATAAGAAAAAACAGAAAACAGGTTTGTGAAGGGGATGTGAGAAATTGGTGGGTGTGTAATGCCACAGAGTTTTTAGCGGTAGAATAGCGGAAATCTGTTCCTCAATGGTTGAATTTCTTCATTTTTTTCCAATATCTTAGGACACGTTTTCTTTTCTTTTTCTGTCTCTTACTTCCATATTTCCAAAACTACCCTTTATCCACTTTTATTTATATAGTTAAATAATATTATAAAATTCATTGACGAAAGTAGTATTTATAAGCTCGATTGAGAAATAATATGAGTGCACGATTGTCACAACTCGCTTAACATACTTTAATCATGTTTGAGTTAGTTGAAGTTTGCGTATGGCATTGGTAGAGATAAAATTGTATAACGTAGTTCACGTTCGGGATTTCTTGTTTCCAGAATTTCTCTATTGTCCTGCTACTTTCCTAGAGCTCGATTTTCAATTGAAAACGTCACTCGACTCACTTTAGGAAATGATGAACAGGGCGACTTGGTCCAAGGGGTCGCCTAGGGCTCGACTAAAGGGGGTTGGCTTAACTTGGTTAGGTCAGATCTTGAGGGTTTGTGATGTCCCACATTAGTTGGGGAGGAGAACAAACCACCATTTATAAGGGTGTGGAAATCTTCTCTTGGTAGACGCGTTTTAAAGCCTTGAGCGGTAGCCTGAATGAGAAAGTCCAAAGAGGACAATATCCGCTAGCGGTGGATCTGGATCGTTACAAATTTCCACACCTTTATAAGCATTGCTTCGTCCCCCCTCTCCAACCAATTTGGGCCCAACGTCCTCAACAAACACCATACTCAATGTCAGACTATGATACCATTTGCAACAGCCAAAACCCACCACGAACATATATTGTCTGCTTCGACCCGTTACGTATCGCCGTCAGTTTCACAACTTTAAAACACATCTACTAGGGAGAGATTTCTACACCCTTATAAGTAATGTTTCGTCCCCCCTCTCCAACCGACGTGGGTCCCAACGTCCTCACCGACACAGCGCTCAGTGTCAAGTTCTGATATCATTTGCAACAGCCAAAACCCACCACTAACAGATATTGTCTGCTTCGACCTGTTACATATCGTTGTTAATATCATAGTTTTAAAACACATCTACTAGGGAGAGATTTTCACACCCTTATAAGCAATGCTTCGTCCCCCTTCTCCAACCGATGTGGGTCCCAACGTCCTCACTGACACAGCGCTCGGCATCAAGCTCTAATATCATTTGCAACAGCCAAAACCCACCACTAACAAATATTGTCCGCTTAGACCCATCGTCGTCAGTCTGGGGAGAGATTTCTACATCCTAATAAGCAATACTTCGTCCCCCTCTCCAACTCGAACGATCGAACGATCGAACGATCGAAACCCTAAAATGTAATTGAATAATATAATTTGTGTGAATACATTTGGAAGGGCATTAAAGTAATTAGACACGAAAGGCCATTTTTGAAAATTGAAATATAGTAAAAAAAAACTTATCCATTTGTTTAAAAAAAAAAAAAGAATTAAATTGAGGTGTCCGCTGGTCCCCATGGGGCGCAACCGATTCTCATTGGATAGCCATAATTTTACAGTCTTCTCTCATAGCCACACTCTCTCCCCTCTCTCACTATTTTTTCTTCTCTTCTCCTTTTCCCCAAATTTCCCCCCAAACCAATTTCATCAACAATGGAAGCTCCCGAATATTTCCACAACAATGCTTACTGCTCCCAATTCACCTCCGACAAAGACGCCGCCGCCTCCACCGCCACCGCCACCGCCACCGCCGACCACTTCATCGTCGAAGAGCTTCTCGATTTCTCCAACGACGACGACTCCGCCATTGCCGACTCCGGCGGCTTCTTCAATAACGTCACCTGCTTCTTGAATGGAAACTCCTCTGAATCCTCCGCCGCCACGGCGGTGGAGAGTTCCAATTCCTCCTCCTTTTCAGGTTGTGAACGGACTTCGTTTTTCGACGATGTTTCTGGCTCTTCTTTAGCCGATGTCCGTTTCTCCGACGACATCTTCATTCCGGTAAACCTAATTTTTTCTTCCTCCTTTTCCCATTCTTTTCTTTTTTATGGTTTTGGCCCGTTACTTTATGTAATTCCAAAACTTTTCAATTTTAGTATTATTTAAATTGTACTCTGTACGAGTTGAGTTGGAAAATTTCTTTGGACAAACCCGAAATTTGGGTTGAGCCACCTGAACTGAGTTCATAACTCTAACCCTCTACTTTCGAGTTGAATTATAGTTTAAATATCAAACATTTATAAGTTATCATTAACATTGGTTACAAATGTCAAATATTATCATTTGTATGATAATTTTAAAAATACAATTGAATGAGATTGTAACCCTATTTTCAAGATGAACCGGTTGTCATGACAAAACTGTGAGGTAACCTGAAGTTTTCGGTTCTCCCAAATTCAACCTAAACCAAACTGGAAAAAAAAAAAATTATAACCCAATCCAACTCTAATTGTTGAAATGGATAATTGAAATTAGGGTTACGTGGACATATGAACCCCTCTTAAATTTTGGAGTCTATATATTAAACAAAATAATAATATAAATTGAATTAAAAAGATGTGAAAATAATAATTCTAACCTAAATGAAATTGAAAAAAAAAATATAATCTAACCCAACCCTAACTCTGAAATTAATTGGGGAGTTAACTCAACCCTAACTCGGTTTGAAATTGGGGAGTGTGACCAACCCTAGTTTGAAATTTGGGAGTCTAACCCAACCCTAATTCTTACGGTTTGAAATTGGGCCTAATTCTCACGGTTTGGAATTGGGCCTAATTCTCATGGTTTGAAATTGGGCCTAGTTCTCACGGTTTGAAATTGGGCCTAGTTCTTACTGTTTGAAATTGGGCCTAATTCTCATGGTTTGAAATTGGGCCTATTTCTCACGGTTTGAAATTGGGCCTAGTTTTTACTGTTTGATATTGGGCCTAATTCTCATGGTTTGAAATTGGGCCTATTTCTCACTGTTTGAAATTGGGCCTAATTCTCATGGTTTGAAATTGGGCCTAGTTCTCACTGTTTGATATTGGGCCTAGTTCTCACTGTTTGATATTGGGCCTAAATCTCATGGTTTGAAATTGGGCCTAGTTCTCACTGTTTGATATTGGGCCTAATTCTCATGGTTTGAAATTGGGCCTAGTTCTCACTTGGGAGTCTAACTCAACCTAGAGTTTGAAATTGGGGAGTGTGACCCAACCCTAACCCTTGCGGTTTGAAATTGGGGAGTTTAACTTAATCCTATTCTTATTTGAAATTGGAGAGTCTGACCAACCCTAGAAATTGGGAGTCTAACCAACCCTATTTCTTACCGTTTGAAATTGGTCTAATTCTTACCAACGTAGTGTGTACATTAAATNCATCTGTTATGGCTTGGCCCTTTTATGGCGGATATTGGCGCACAGACTCCCTTCTTCTATATTTTCAGAGAAAGAGAATTAGTATATGATCTATTCGAAGCAGCCACCGGTATGAGAATGATGCATAATTATTTTCGTATCGGGGGAGTCGCGGCTGATCTACCTCATGGATGGATAGATAAATGTTTGGATTTCTGCGATTATTTTTTGACAGCGGTTGCTGAATATCAAAAACTTATTACACAAAATCCTATTTTTTTAGAACGAGTTGAGGGAGTAGGCATTATTTCTGGAGAAGAGGTAATAAATTGGGGGTTATCAGGACCAATGCTGCGAGCTTCCGGAATACCATGGGATCTTCGTAAAGTTGATCATTATGAGTGTTATGACGAATTTGATTGGGAAGTTCAGTGGCAAAAAGAAGGAGATTCATTAGCTCGTTATTTAGTCAGACTTGGTGAGATGACGGAATCCATAAAAGTTATTCAACAAGCTTTGGAAGGAATTCCAGGGGGACCTTATGAAAATTTAGAAATACGATCTTTTGATCGAGGACAGTCTCCAGAATGGAATGACTTTGACCATCGATTAGTAAAAAAGCTTTGCCAACTTTTGAATTGGCGAAACAAGAAGTTTATGTGAGAGTCGAAGCCCCAAAAGAGAAATTGGATATTTTTTTTTTATAGGGGATCAGAGTGGTTTTCCTCGGAGATGGAACACATACATTAAACAATTTGATACAAAATAATAATATTTAATGCAATATTACTTGCAAATGAGAAATGAAATATGGAATTACACAACATTTACATTTTAGTTTTATAATAATATCAAATAAGTAAAAATATTTAGGTTTATTTTATTTTTTCTAAAAATAAAATAAAATAAAATTGTTGCATTGTCAATTTTCCCACTTAATCTATCAAACTTCTCAAATTTTACCCAAATAAATTCAAAATTTGCAAATAAGCCCTTCCATTCCTATCCAGCTGTAACTTGGAGCCTCACGTTTATAAATACTATTTTCACTTTCCTTCCTTTATTTTTTAAAATGTTTTTAAAAATTTAAGCAAAGTTTTTTAATTAAGAAAAATTATGAAAATTTTAAAAAAACATTAACTAAATGTTGAAAATTAAATTAAATTAAATTATAATAAAGTTTAATTGGATAAAGTTGAAAATTGCTGTTTAAAATATTAATAATTTTTTAAATGAAATAAATGAGACGATTTATGTAAATAACATAATTTGAATAAAATAATATACTGTGGGGTTTTTATTTATTTATTTTTAATTTAATTTATATTTTCAGTACAATGAGTTAGTTGAGTTGGAATGGCTTGCAAGTTTTGAGGAGGAACCGTTTTCCAGCGAGGATATGCAAAAGCTAGAACTCATCACCGGAGTCAAAGTCAAACCCGACGAGCCACTCCAATCCCAGCACCCAACCACCGCGGTCTCCGCCGCCTCTCACGGCCGAAATGCAGCAGCTGAGATCTTCAAACCCGACATTGTAGCGGTTCCGGCGAAGGCCCGGAGCAAACGCTCACGCATCATCCCATCAAATTGGAACAACTCCCGTCTCCTCCCACTTTCTCCGACCAGCTCCTCCTCCGAGCAAGACATCCCGGCCACCGAACCGCCACCGCACCCGGTTAAGAAAGTCCCTCCAAAAGTGGCGGCGGCGGTGAAGAAAAAGGAATCCTCCTCCTCCTCGGAGACCGGAATGTCGGCTGGAGAGGGGCGGAAGTGTATGCACTGTGCCACTGACAAGACGCCGCAGTGGCGGACGGGCCCAATGGGCCCAAAGACGCTTTGTAACGCTTGTGGGGTCCGCTACAAATCCGGGCGGCTGGTGCCGGAATACCGGCCGGCGGCGAGCCCGACATTTGTGCTGACGAAACACTCGAATTCCCACCGGAAAGTGTTGGAGCTTCGACGGCAAAAGGAACTGCAGAAAGCGCAGGAACAGCAGGCGTTGATGATGGATCATCATCACCATCATCACCATCAGGAAATGATGTTTGATTCATCCAACGGTGAGGATTACCTGATGAAGCAAAACGTGGCCCATGATTACCTGCACCTGATCTGACCCCACCTATCCAAATTTGCATCCATTCGGTTTTTTCCCTCTAATTTTTAGATGATTTTTTTTTACAGTTCTAACAGATTTTTGTTTTTTTTTTTTTTTTTTGTTTTTTTTTTCATAGAAATTATCTCACAAACAAATTACAAACAAAAACAAAAACAAATTACAAAGAGTTATGAAGGTTATATCCAAACTTTGATGCACATTAAATTATAGTTCCCAAGTTTTGATGTATTAGAAAATTAATTAATTAATTACTATTTTACGCTTCTACTTCTAAAATAATCCATTTGTAAAAATAAAAGTAAACTCTGATTTACCAAAATATATATATATATATATATATATATATATATATATATATTTACGAGACAATTTATTTTTTAAAATAAAAAAAAAAAGAAAAGAAAGATGGAATCTATTATTATTTTGATTTATATGCTTCATTTTTTTAACATGTATTAAGTATTATATTATCTATATATATATGAGAATATAATATCATTTTTTTTTATTTATTTTGCACAAACAAATTAATTTTCAATCAAAATTTTAACTTAATAATTAATTTTATGAAAATCAAACAAAAGTAAATTAGGAAAGTTGATTAAAAGAAAGGGAGACTAAAATAGGAGGATGAGAGACTGGAAAAGGAGGAAAAAAAATAATAAAAGAAAACTCTCATTATTATTATTTTATATTAATAATTAAAAATATACATATATCTTCACTCGAGCTTGTCTTAGAAACCATTTTTTTTTTTTTTTAGTGATCATGACTCTCCCGGTTGTGCAATTGTAATGGTGCTCTTATGGTTTTGACCAAAAGGTCTCGTACCGTACCCTCTCTACAATTGTATGATATTATATTGTCTTACTAAAAGGAGTCATACCATATGTATCCTCCCCATACCTCTCTATAATGATATGATATTATATTGTCTGACCGATCAAAAGGCCTCATACCATATGTAGCTTCTCTACAATGGTATGATATTATATTGTCCAACTAAAAGACATCATTACCATATGGAGACCTGAATAGCCTCTCTACAATGGTATAATATTATATTGTCCGACTGAAAAGGCCTCTTTGAAGATCTGGTATGATATTATATTGTCCGACTGAAAGGCCTTTTTTGTAGACGTGAGTAGGCCTCCCTTAGTTGTCTAACTTCCTTCCAAAAACTTTCTTATTTAATTAATTTATTTATTCTTATTTAATTTATTTACGTTTAATTATTAGAGCTACCATTGCTTTTCATCACTTTTTAAAAATCACTCAAAATTCAAATTCACTTTTCCATACTTTTTAAAAATCTCTCAAAACAAAAATCTCTATTTTAAAACATGGGTTTTTATCTGAATCTTTATCCCGTTATTAATATATATATATATACACATAATATATATATATATATACACATAATATATATATATATATATATACACATAATATATATATATATATATATATATACATATATATACATACACATTTTGTTCGATTTTAAAAAACACCTTGTTCTAAAAGACACGTAAATTAAATTCTATAAACAAATCAATTTAATTAATTTCAAACCGAAACTCTTCACCATATCCTACAAATACAAAGGTTTAATCTGGAAGCTTCAAAATTCTAACCTCTTAATCGATAATCCAATATATTGATTATAATCATGACTTAAAAGACTTTTGTCGAAATAAAATATGAATCAAAAAATGGAATTATCTTATGAATTTGGTCTAACAATCAGAGTAGGATTGGCAATTCCAACTCCCATAATCATTCAAGAACAGTGAACTTTGAAGCTATAGATAATAATGACCCGAACTAGACGGAAGAAATGGAGCTTCACAGGAAATCAATGCAGTAAAAATACTAAATTAGAGCCTCTTTTTTTCCTATTCTAGTAACATGATCATCACCCTCATCATCAGAAACTGTAAGAAAACAATGACGCATCCAGAAAAGGAAATGCTAAAAAAATAAACTGAAAAAAGAACAAAGTAATGGAGAAACGGTTCACTGTGAGGTTTTTTTGTGTGTCCAAATGAACGAACCTTCGATGTCTTCATTGACCCACCTGGAATTGAAGTTTTAACCTTGACTTATTCTGGAAGTTGAATCTTAGAACTTATTCGAGTAAGGTCGTCGTTATTCTGGAGTCGAATCTTGTCTCGTTGCTTCTAATCTACAGATTCATCAAGATCTAGAAGAAACCTGATGCTGCTACTCTAAAGCAATCCTTTGGATTCCTATACATCCAGTTTGGGAGTTGTTGGAGCTTCATTACTTTCCTCCGCAGAGGATTGAATTTTAGGTGAACCAGTTGGCGTAGAGTAGCTTGTTGATGGGTTATATCTCTTAAGCAGCCTGTCTTTGTTTTTACTCCACCAGTCTTCTGCTTGCTGCTCATCAAACTTTCTCTTGCTGCGACCAGACAAGCAAGGAAAGAAATGCATCAAAGTATTCAAAGTAACAGTTAATGCATTCATGTCCATGTCCTACATATGTATGTAAAATAATGTCAACTAACTTGTGCTACATTTCTCCAATATGATGATCATGGCATAATTAGATGACATAGATGGCTTTTATATATCCAAACCTATAGATTTCAACAAAGTGTTGCAGACGAGATGATATGTGGTGTTCCTGATGCAGCTGAGATAGTGATATCTTTCAAATGCAACTGTTATTGTGGCAATACCTGAATCTAACGCGTTTGAAAATCTTGGTATCATTTGAAAGCACAACCAAAGTTACATAAACACCAGGTTCAAATTGCTCAATAACTTGCTTTTCGCTTCCAGTTGGGGGTGCTGAAGATAATGGAGATCTAGAGCCATTTTCTGTACTTTGAGAAACTGCCTCCCTTGCAGAAGTTTTCTTACTTTCCAGAAGATTATTTACATTAACCTGCGTTAAGTCCTTCATTCCTGAAGTGACTAAATCGTCTTCTAGCCTCTTTGAAGAATCAGCAAGTGAGGGAGTAGATCCATTATTGGGTGTGTCAGCTTTTTCACGACTCGAAGGCAAAGACGAAGTTTTCGATGTCTCAACTATATTTAAGAAAGCTTCAGCTTGGGCATACATTGCCTTAAAAGTTTCACCATCAGATATCTCAGGTGGCAGTTTCTCAGTCATTTCCTTCAACTGAAAAACCAAGTTAGAGAAATTTACATTAGTCAACATGTGTCACTAATATTTGGATCATTGGTTAGCAATTCATGTCAAGTGGTTTTGTCATGATAAAAGTTAAAAGATCAAATTTCATGCTCCTGTGGCCATAGCAACATATTTTTAACCAAGGTATGAAACAGCTATTCACAAACCTGTTATAAAATTTGCGAGGCTACCAATGACATCAAAATCATTCTTTCCAGTTATTTAACCAAGGTATGAAACAAAATGAAGTAACTCAAATGGTAATATATTTGCTACCTGGTCTGTAATTGTAGTAACTAATTTCTTTGCTATTTTGCACCTGGAGGATTCTTCTTCAACTAATGAAGCCACTTCACTTACATTTTTGCACAAATTTCGAATTTCTGTATCTTGAGTATCAACTTTCTGCTTCAAGCTATAAACCTGAAAAACACGGAACAATGATAAAACTAAGTTTCTTTGGATGTAGGTTTCTTCAAAAAGAATATAAATAAATAAGGATATTGCAAAATTTTGGATTTGCAAAGAAAACGAGTTAATGCCTGGCGTTCAAGCCTTGAATTTTCTTGAGTCAATGTCTCATTTGATTTCCTGAGAGTCTCATTTGACCTCTTGAGACTATCAATAACAGTCTTCGAAAATCCTGGAGTAGATGAACGTGGAGGGCTTGGCCTCCTTGAATATGGTGATACAGGTCTTGAATTGCACATTGGAGGTGGTGATGCTGGTGCCACAGTTGCGGGCCTCCAAGCATTTTGAATAGCACTCAACGAACTTGGAAATGCAATGTCTTTCAGTTGCTGAAGAGATGGCACCTGAGAAGCTCTGACCATAGAAGGAGAAGATGGTCTACTCCCTGGTTTTACTGATTTAATCTCATGATATTTAACAGGTTCTGTGGTGGGAGACAATAGAATGCGAGAAGTTCTCACCTCCACCCTATCAAATCTTTCCTTATAATCTGTTGAATGACGACTGGCCGTCAATTTTCTATTTATAGCCAAATTGTTGCCAGCCTCAGCAGCTTTAAGTTTTGCATAGCAAGAATCACATACTCGGTGTGGTTTGCCTGGGGTAGGTGCCAATGCTGCTTTCAAAGCTTTCTTGGAGCTGCATGAATGACAATGCACCAGCCCACAGTTATAACAATTGTGCCTCTTCTTCGTGAAACCAAATGCTTGACGACAACCAGTGCAAACTGACTGATCTGCTCCGCTAACCCACTTATGAATACATATACTTGCAGTAAAGTTTGAACCACAAGATATACTTTTAACATGCCGGTCCTTCAGAGCTTCCACGAGTGTTGGGGATCTCCTATCCTCTACATCTCCATGTCCCAACCTTCCATTGGCACCCCTGCCCCAAGAAAACACTTCATTTCTTGATGTGAGAACAACTGTGTGACTTGCACCGCAAGAAATTTCTTCAACAAATTCACCAACTAATCTATCCTGCACTAAGCAAGGAATAATTCCATCTGAACTTGGATTGCCTAGCTGACCATATGCAGTACCACCCATGGTAAACACATGACCCGATGTGGTAAGAGCCACAGTCATGTTGTGTCCACATGCCAACTGGTGGAAATTGTAGTCTATGAGTGAAGAAACACAAGTAGGAAGAAGATAAGTTTCCTTGTTTCCATGACCCAAACGGTATTTGTCACCATCACCCCAAGTGAACAACTTTCTAGATGACATGTTAGAACCAGTCTGACCCATAACCTCAACAATAGCAGCAGTATGCCAGATTCCACAAGCAACTTTAATGGTCCTAAGTCCACTCAATAATTGCACCTCTCTTGGATATGCAATACTCTCCCTATCTCCATGGCCCAGTACACCATATGTTCCATCACCAAATGTGTATAGTTTTCCGTTGGAAGTTGCTAGTGCTGAATGCCACGTGCCACATGCAACAGATAAAACTTGAAGCCCTTCCAAAGGACCGACAACTCTTTTGGGTATCCAGTGACTAACATCAGTGCCATGACCAAGAATTCCAGAACTAAATATTCCATCACCCCAAGAGAATAAATCATTTGAAGAGGTTATGGCACATGAATGATACTCACCACAAGCTACAAAGTCTACATTACTAACTGCCAGAAACTCAACAAGACGGGGGCGACTAAAGTCTCTATCAACTCCATGACCGAGCCGTCCCCCACATTCTTCACCCCATGTGAAAACCTCACCTTGCCTCGTTACGAGAGCAATGTGTCGGACACCGCAAGCAATCTGATGAACATCAAGAACAACATTTGTCTCCAATGGCTTTGGAATCAGCACATCATTTTTTACTGGTATTGGACTTGAAGTTCCATCGGGTAAAACTAAATCAGACCAAATCCCACCCCAGACATAAACATCACCCAATGACTCTATATCATCTGGTCCAGATCCTCCACTCGAACAACTAGGAGTGCTTGATACACTGATGCGGAAACCATCTCCACCACTTCGTTGCATATTTGCACGTTCTGAACCCACATCTGAACTTACCAGATGCAATGAAGATTCACGAGAATTTAAATCAATAGAATCCCTTCCCCGAGCTAAGCTGTTACTAAATTCTAAGGTTGCACCAAAATTTCGACCACTTTGAAAGAACTCACTACCATCCTGCAACTGGAAAATAGTTATCAACCATAACTTAATTTTTTTTCAATAGGATAGTTTAGAAAATTAGATACATGATCATGAGATAAAAAACAGTAAACTACCGACAGAGGTGATCTACAGTTATATGATGAGGAATCAAGATTGTAAAACAATACATGCGCAAACTTGGAAAACTTTTAAATTATGTTCTGCAACTTGGGCAAAGCATATCCTGGCTCTATAACTGACCAAAACAAAGATCAACTTGTATATAATTTGAAAGGTTTGGGCCTATTTTGATATCTAGTTTGAAAATAGATTATTTTGAGAGCAGTGAATAACAGGATATGAATTTAAACTAAAATTCTGAAGCTGTATTCATATACAATACTAGAGAATGGATGAAATAATAGATTTGTTTTAAGAGGCCCTTTTATTCTATAGTTCATGAGTTCTCGTTCACAATTTATAGGCTAGAAGTGGTATGCGCAAAGAGATGTCTTTCCAACTCTCCTAACATAATACAGATAGTGTGGGAAAATATTGAGCTCGTCCTTGGTCAGTATTAGATATCCGTGGCATGGTGCATTGAGTTCTACCTATATTGCAGGTATCATATAATCTTCTGCAGGAAGATTATCTCTGTTAAACCATTGTGCTATTACATTCACCTGAATAATTTCACAGCTCCTTAATGTTGTCTTTCATGTGAAGCTGACTTTGATGCAAGAACAGTACCAAAAAAAAAAAAAAAAAAAAAAAAAAAAAAAAAAAAAAAAAAAAAAAAAAAAAAAAAAAAAACAAAAAAAAAA